AGTTATTTATTTAAACTGTCAGAAGAGGTAGTTGAATGAGGTCAGCTCAATGCTGAATGAGGTCGTGAGCAGACCAATGCTGCACAAAGTGACTGGTGCAGGTCCCAGTGTGTTAGTGGAAGGGGGGAGCTGGGGGGGGCACATTTCTCCTAATACTTTTGTCAGAGGTCTGAAGTCCCAGTGTGCTGCAGAATTTAGCTCCAAAGCTTCTGGGATCGCTTTAGTCCGGGGTGTCAAATCCTGCTCCTAGAGGACCAATGTCCTGCAGAGTTTAGCTCCAACCTGCCTCAACACACTTGCCTAGAAGTTTCTATTGATCCTGAAGACCTAGATTAGCTGGTTGAAGTGTGTTTAATTAGGATTGGAGTTAAACTCTGCAGAACAGTGGCTCTCCACGAGCATGATTGGACATCCCTGGCATAGTTTGATTTGATTCTTAGCCAGTGACATTAAGAACAGATGTTACGTTATTGGGCAGTTTATAGACCCCAAAACAAGTCTGAATGGGAGTAAGGAGTAGACCAGTGTCTTCCCAATCAAGCACACTTGAATCAACTCATCAGCGCATTAGTAGAAGATCTAAGGCTATATGTTCAGACTGCAGGCAAATCAGTTTTTTTTCTTCTCTCAAATCAGATCTTTTCAGGCATATTGTCCGCACTATTAATTCCAAGTGATCAAATCAGATTTTTCTGTTCAGACATAACCAACTTGTCTGCATGCGATGCTTTGGTTACGACGCAGGTGTACTCATATTTTGATGATGGTTTCAAAACAGATACAGGAAAAGTGGAGATGCATCATCTCGACCTCCAAATAAATGCCCTTTTGAGTCGCTGTGCAGAAATCCTCTGTCTCACGAGAAAAACTCAGCGACAGAGGAGACTGTTATATATTGTCATGTGATGTGATGTTCCATGCTGTAGTCACAGCCGGCTTCAGCTTCGTTTGAATACTGTATGAATGCTTCTGGCATTTCTGTCACAGGTTTTGACGTTATCGTTGTGTGTCGTGTCAAGAGTGACGCAAAAGATCATTTGAAATCTGATTTGAGCAGCCCAGAGTGTCCAGACTGAGACACATCTGTAAAAATCTGATTTCAAAACACCTCTAAATGTGGTGTGAATCAGATTTGGAGGAAAAAAATTCATATGTGTTTTTTAAAAGCCCATCTGGATTATGTCTGGATATGAAAAAAAAAATCAGATTTTTGCTGACAGTATGCACAAGGTCTAAGACCTGGAATGTGTGTTTCAAAATAAGGGAGACATCCAAAATGTGAATTGTTGGTGGTAACGGTACGTCAGGTACTACAGGACCAGGGTTGGCTCCCACCTTTGCTACTGATCAAACACTGATCAAACAGACACAAGTCAAGTCAAGTTGAGCTTTATTGTCATTCTGCTGCATGTGAGTACATACAGTGGAACGAAATGTCGTGCCTCACAGGACCACGGTGTAACATAAATACAGGCATACAACAGTGAAGTAAAACAGTAAAAAACCTATACAGTAAAAGCCTTTAAACCAACTAATAAAGATCTTCAGGATTGTTTGAAAAGTTCAAGCGTTTGATCAGAGCTGGATCTAAACTCTGCAGTACAGTGGACCTCCAGGAGCACAACTGAGGAATCCTGATTTAGGTATTTGATCCACTT